TCTCTCTCTCTCTCTCTCACACACACACACACACACACACAGAGTTTTCAGTTTGTCAATACATGTTCCTTTTTTAAAATCCAAGTTTATCTCATTTTGGTTGCTTCTACCTCCTTTTCTTAATTTGAATTCAGACATATCCCCCACTCTTTCCTGAGTTACACGTATCTCATTTCTTGATACAGTATTCTGTTATGGCTCCAGCTCTTAGAAAGAGACTTGTAAGTTTTGTAGTTTGTGGAAAATTAACACACATGAAAATGAAAAATAAAAGCTAATAGGCAGCTTATTATGCTTCTCATATTGTTTCTAAACCCACCTAATTTTTATTACTTTCCACTTGACTTTAAATGATAAATTTTTCTAAATGGCATTTTTATGACTACAAAAATGACTTTATATGCTTATTAAGAATTTTGAAAATACAGAAAAATATGAAAAAGGAAAACAAAACATACTCTTTCAACTTTTAAAATATTTCCATGTGTATCTTCCCAGTGTTCTTCCAGTAAATATTTAATGTCTAAGTTCATTAAATTTTTTAATAAAGTGGGTCTTGACTCTTCTGCTTTATAACATGGGGTTTTTTTCTAACAATATTCTTGTCCTTACACATTCTTTCACATAATCTTTCTATTATTGTTTTACATATAACTGTAATTCAGTTATTTCATATTTTTCACTCTTTCAAATGGCACTCTAGTACATATCTTTGTATGTACATCTAGACACACTTCCAGGATAGCTTACTTAGGGTAAGTTTTCACAGTAGATGTGTTGAATCAGGAAACACACATTTTTAAACCTTTAAATAATTATAGCCAAGCTGCCAACCAGAAAAATTTACTGATCACATTTTGGCCAACAGTTTGAGATACTGATTTCCTCATATCTTCAACTACACTGGTCACTTAAAAGAAAATAAAATTTGCCTTTTGGTATGGTGTGGTGTAGATCTAGAACGTTCCCCAAATGGCTCATGTGCTGCGAGGTGGGGATTTTAGAAGGTGATTGGATCAAGAGGGCACTATAGCTGACAATGCTGTTGGGAGGTAGGGCCTGGTTGGACGTGGAAGGGCTTATCTTCCTTCTAGGGTCCTCCTTCTGCCCTCAGCTTCCTGGTCACCATGAT